TCTAGTTATTATTATTATTATTTTTTTCCCATTTTTTGTCCAAGCGATTTCTCAGAGATGGCTCAATGGATTTTCTTGAAACTTTCAGGGTTTATGACAAATAAAATAAACTAAAAACATTTTTAAGGATTTTGCAAAATTCACTTCCGGTCGTCAGATATGTCCGATTTCCGTTTTTTCAAGAGAGTTCATGTCCGGACGTTTTCTCAAAAACGGCAAAAGATTAAGACCTCAAACTTTCAGGGATTATAGATCATGACAAGTATGTTTGTGGAACATGTTTAAATCCGTCAGCCGTCACTTCCGGTCGTCACAGGAAGTGATCAAAGAAATCGAAAATTTCAACTTTTCTTATTTTAATTAAATCTTGTATCACTTAATTGCATCTGTTTTGCAGTTTCGAAATATGTTGGTCCCACTGGAAACAGAAACGTCAACTTCCGGTTACAAGCGAAAAACTACATAATTTGAGCATTTTACTTTCCCATAAATATCGCTTATAGAAGAAGTATTTGAAATGATTTTTAGATATGTTATTCAGACTGCAAATGTCTAGAGTAACGTCAAATATCTTGGTTAAATTCACTTCCGGTCGCGTGTTTTACTGTCCGCAAAATGAGAACTTGTCAAAGTGAGATCTCAGAAACGGTAAGAGATTAAGACACCAAACTTATATGAGTAATAGAGCTTAATGAGTAGGCAAAACCCTTTGGGTTAATAGCGTCAGCCGTCACTTCCGGTCTTCACAGGAAGTGATCAAAGAAATCACGAATTTCAACTTTTCTCTTTTGAAATAAATCTTGCATCATATAATTGAATCTCTTTCACAGTTTCTCTATGTGTTGGTCTCACTGGAAACAAAAAACGACAACTTCCGGTTATAAGACAAAACTATGTAAATGGGATTTTTAACTTTCCCAAAAATATCGCTTATAGATAAAGTTTTTGAAATGATTTTTATTTATGTTATTGAGACTGCAATTGTCTAGTGTGAAGTCAACCATCTTAGAAAAATGTGCACTTCCGGTCGCGTGTTTTTCTGTCCTCAAATTGAGATTTTGTTCACCAAATTGCTCAGAAACAGTACATTGCTGAAGTCTAAAACTTTCAGAACTGATAGAGAGTCCTCAGTTCATCTGCATAATGTAAAAATCGTACGTTGCCGTCACTTCCGGTCGTGACAGGAAGCGATGAAAAAAGTAAATTTTTAAAGTTTTACTTTCTTTTTACAGAAATGTTTGGCTAATACGGATGTTAGATAGACTGTAACAATGCAATTTATTTTCACCGGAAGGCCCAACCGAAAAACCGGAAGTTGTCTCAAACATGAGTAGTTTTTCATAGAAACTTTTAGGGAGGATCAGTTGTGAATAATTTAGGTGTAGAATGAACATTTTATTCATTTGGAGCACTTTCAATCATGACGTAGTACATAAAGAAAACAGGAAAGTAATTCCGTTTTTTTTTTTATTGTATTTACATATCTTTGGAAACCTTGAGATAACTTTTGTTAATTATTTAGAGTAATCTTATTGACAAGATTGTGGTTTTTTTTCCGAAGAAGTCAAGAAAACGGAAGACCTGTTATTGCCTAGGCAATAACTATCTAGTTATTATTATTATTCTTTTTTTCTACTTTCTTCTCCGGTACTTTTTTGTCCGCGAGTGTTCTCATAGAACCACTCATCCGATTGACATGAAACTTTTTTAGGGTTAATAGGCATGTTGTGTAGGTGTTCGGAACGAAGGTCATTTTGCGCGCACATGCATGCACGTGCGCGCGCGTGCAATGAGTGAAATGACTGATATACTTGATGAAGCCGTAACTTTGATATTTCTTGATGAATTGCTTTGAAACTCAAAATATAAAGATACATTAGTAGTCTAGACAAGATAACCTGGTCAAATTAGCGTGAACTCACGCGCATGCACGTGCGCTCTTCTCTGATTGGCTGATACAAAAATCTCAATAATTTCCTTGTTTTTTGACAAAATACTTTGAAATTTAGAATATAAGTATATATTATAAGGTGCTACAACATGTTATATAGGAAATTTCTTGAAAACACGCGCATGCAGATGTGCTGCAATCTGATTGGTTGAAACTTTAAATGTCTATAACTCCCTTGGTTTTCAACAAAACAGGATGAAATTTATGACATGGATAGGCACATAGAGCTCCTACATTATAATACTATCAAAATTGAATGCAAGGACCTGCATGTGCGTATGCTGAATTCTGATTGGCTAATACTTAAAGGGTTACATTTCTCTTATTTTTCAATGAAATTCTTTAATATTTAACACAACTGTATGTATTGTGAGACACTATAAGAAAATTAAAGTGAAAAATGTAGAAAACATGTGCAAGCACATGCGCTGAAATTTGATTGGCTAATACCCATATGGCTATATCGGAGTAGTTTTCCAATGAAATACCCTTAAAAATAAAGTGTCCATCTATATTACAAAAGTATTGTCTAATTTATTGAAGCTTGTAGAAAATGGGGCATCATAAGGGATTTGGGGAGCCGTTTGGGGAACATCTGTAACGGTTCCCGTTACAATTAGCACTAGTTACAATTGATTTCATAGCGAAAGGATATCGGTATATTGTTGAACTTTTAAGATTAAGACAGAGACGCGGTATAACAAGTGTTCCAAGGAACGCATGTGTCGCCTGCTTTATAGCTTCATTAAAGGTGTAAATAAATCTAAGAGTGGTCGAGTTTTTATCTACTATAAGCATAATAGACTGATAGTTCATGCATTTGCCTGCAGAGAAAAAAAGGGCATCCATGGATAGAATCTGACAATCAAAGAGAATAACCCTCAAATGAATAATTAAATTGAAATTATTAGAAATATCTATTTGTCATTTTATTAATACGTGTTTCCAACAATCCTCCAAAAAAGATATCAGTCTGTCTTGACAACAATTTTCGGTCTTCACGATCCATTTGAATTCCGATCCCGTATTTTTATGGTATTTAAATATAAGTTTGTGTTTAACTGAATATCTTACACTTTCAAAGTACTTTTTCATGAACTGAACGTGTTTCTAATAATCATTCAAAAGAGATTTCAGTCTGTCTTTACTGAAATTCTCAGTCTACATGATCCATTGTGGAATGCTGATCCTGATGTATTTTCATAGTACTGAAAAATATAAGTTTGTCTGGTAACTGAATATCATACGGTTTCAAATTACACTATCATGAGCTCATAAACATTTATAATTGCTTATTTTTTAAACCCCGGTTCTCAAAATTCAAAATCATAAGTTTAAATAAACTGCCCGAGATATTTTTTTGCAAAGTAGGTCAAAGGTCAGGTCAAGTGGATTGTAATGCTGGTATTTTCCATATTGTCCAATGACAAACAGTGCATATATTAAATAGCATACACTTATCTCTTAATTGTCAAAAATATGCTGTATTTCGGACCCCTGAGCTCTTTTGAAAAGTAGGTATAAGGTCAAGGTAAAAGGTCACTAGGTCGGTAACCATGGTAATTTACAAAAGCCACAGTGCCAAGCAATATATGTGCAAAATTTCAAATCAATATCTCTTACAGTTCTTGAGATATAAAGTGTGACAGACGGACATACGGACAGTCAACTACATGTAGACGGACAGATAGACAGACAGACACAGGATAAAGTGATCTTTTAGTGCCACTGTGCTCTGCAGACGACACAAAAATGCAAGTAGCAGAATTCCAATTTGTATATATTCATGCTGTTAAATATCAACACTGTTTATTTTTTCGGAATTTTTAAGACGTATTTCCTATGGGCGTCCTTAACCTAGCTGCGTATAATCGAGGATAATTATTATATATTATATATATATATATAAATATATATAATAAATAGTACAAATAATTTAATAACAAGGTTCACAGGGTTCGATAGTCACACACCAAAAAAAAAAAAAAAGATTCTAAACATTCAATCCTCTCAAAGTAATGATGAACCTTTTTTTGTCCTTCGGAAGAATCACATGGACTTCTTTAGCATTTCGTATCCAGCGACTCACATTAGTTACATAAATTTGTTATATAAAGTGAAGAAAAGTCTTTATATTCTCTATATAGAGAAACAGGCAACATGATTGATATTTGCTCCTCCGAAAAATATTGACGTCCATTTAAATTTTACTATTGACAGGCAAAGATTTTTTTGATTATACTTGGTAGATTGATTTATTTGAGGAATGAATTTAATATAGCTACCCAATTTATACGGTATTATACCGCGAAGCGGTTTATATAAAAGCGTAAACTGTTCCAACCCACTTTATTACTTATGAACTGGGTAGCTATTAAATTTATTCCTTATAATTTAATTTTCATTCATTTAGTGTAAGAAAAAAGATTATTGCCCATAAAAAATGACTTCAAATTATACAAAATTTAAACGTAACGTCAGGCAACGCAAGTCATTGTGAATTAGGCAACCCAATTCATACAATATTGAGTAAATTTTTTATCCAATAAAATTGCCCGTTACAATCAGAATTAAATTATTGTGACACAATGATACAGTCGTGACTTCAAAAAACTCAACGTCATAATTATAAAAACTCCAAGTAACAAATCATGGCAACTTGAGGATTCGCTACAACTACAGTCAACGTGCAGGTAATGTATTCGGCATAAATGATTTGCTGAATGTTAATAAATGAAATCAAAATACCGTTTCATTAATTTGTTTTTCTTTTTCATATAACAAAACAATTACTGCCTGTGTTTTCGAGCAAAATTGATTATGTTAGCCACCTCGGAACGTAAATATTGCCCTTCATTTGCTTGCTTCGAGCAATATTTCATCCCTTGGGGGGCTGACAGAAACAATGTAGCCCTCAACCCAGTCAATATTTGCATAATACAAGGGAATCAACATATTTTATAAATGAGCTGAATTGGAAACTGAATATATACACAATAACAATACACATACAAGAATAAATGATCAATGCAAAACCGATTTTTCCAATTTAATTCGAGTGCAAAGCGGTAGATAATTCTTGCAAAAATGTCATCACATTCTCTCCAATTTCTGGCCATCGAATACTTGTGATAGACCACCATATGTATCTGAGGTCTTTTGGCATTCTTTCTACAGGAATGTCATCTTTAATGATCACTATTATTGATTTTTCTCTGTGATTGTGAAATGCATGAGTGACCACCATCTGAATGGCATAAGTATCCCACCCACTCTTCAGGAAGTTTTCCGTTACGAGAATAATAACTTTCCGGCTATCATCAATACATTGCAAAAGTTGCTCAGCTTTTGATATACCAGGAATAAAGTCTATATCCGGTAAGCTAATTAGGAAGCCCAAATCGACCAACTCTCCATACAGAGTTGTACAGGCTAATTGATAATCCTCTTCTGCGTATGACACAAAAGCGTCAAACTGGAATGTTTTTGCATTTACAACATGTACGACACCTTTCCATCGACTACGCAGGCGCAGAATAACATAATCAACATGAACACGATATTTTTTGACGAATGCTGCTGCCAATATTGTCGTTAGTAAAAGTACTAGCATAATGAGAGAACATATCAGCCATATGTTTGCTTGACATTTCTTTTCAAATTCTATAAATACCTTTTCCTGAAAAAACTCTGCTAATGGCACCGATTTGCTGTTGCACAGAGTGATTTTCAAATCTCCAAATCTGATTTGATTTTCTTTCATCCATTTGAGAGAAGAAATATGCGCACATTCACAATTTATTGGGTTTCCTTCGATATGTATTTTAAAATTCTTATTTAATGTTAATAAGTTGTCAATATCATATTTTGTTAAGAATGTTAATTTATTAAAGCGAAGATAAAGGTGATCTAGCTTTTGTAAGTGTGATACAGGTATTGTTGACAATTCGTTGTGATCGAGATACAAAGTTGAAAGAGAAAGCCTTTGATCAACAAACGTAGTTGGTGGCAAATAAGATATATAATTTTTACTCAAATCTGCAATTTTCAGTCTTTTTAGCCCAATGAAAATTTTTTCCATAATTAAATTATTAGTGAAGTCAAGATCCGCATTGCTTGCGAGAAATGTTTCCAGTTTTGTAGCAAACTGTAATATTGGATACTTAATTTTACTGCATTCGTTATTAGATATGTCAAGAACTTCTAAAGAAGGCGTTTGTATCGGCGCTACACGTTTACACAGAAAGTTTGTGTATGGCACATGTAGTTCTTTTAAACGTTCTCCGGACAGAGTAAAATCAACGGATGGGAAACTCAAAGGAGGAATATCAGTCTTAGAAGCTTGTAATACTGTTAAATGTTTTGACAGATTTATAGTAAAAATCGGCCTGTTTTTGAAATGAATACGAATTGGATCACTGTAGTTTATCATTTTCCTAACAATAGTACAAAAATCAATAAACATAAAGAATAGTACTCGCAATCGTGGATATGCTGTGAGAAAATCCACCATAATATCAGGCTTAATAAACGCAATTCTATTCATAGATATGTCAAAGTACTCCATGCATTGACCCATTCGAGTCTTTAGAGGGTTGTCCGAAATTCTAGATATCCGGTTTTTACTAAGTGTGACGTTCTTGGTGCATGTATTGAACAAATATTTACAATTTTGCTTGTTTAGAAAAATTTCTCTTTCTGGGTGTCTTGGTTTATTTTCATCAGCATTAATATAATCCATTGTTCTATTCTGAAGACATTTCAAGGATAGTAATGCAACGTTCAAGTCGCACATTCCACCAAAGTCAATGAACACACCTTTCAAAACAGGAAATGAGCAAAAGATTTCTTCACTGACATCACAATACACTAGGTTCCTGAAATATAATTTCAGGTAATAGATGGGAGAGTTGGACAGACCGACAAACGTACTCTTTTTAAGATGAAATTTTGATTTTTCTTTGAACAAAATCACTTTTTCCAACTGTGTTAACTTTCGAAAATGGTCACTAAAAAGAAAGCCTTTGAAGACCCCTAATGTCAAACTTTTCAAAGTCAATATTCTGGAAATTTCAATATCTGGATATCCCAGATGTTCAAATGCATTGTAATGTATATGCAAAACTTTCAGCTTTGTTAGATTAGCAAATGATTGGTTGGCTAGCGAAAATTTTCCCAAATTGCACTTGTAAAGAGTAAGAACACATAAATTCTCCAGTGAACCAAAAGCAAATTTTCTTATTATTCTAATATTGTTGTACTGTAGATAGAGAGCTTTTATATTTGGCAACAATTTGATATTGACCCTAGAAAAGGTCTCAGATGAGAAAGTGGTGAATTTGTTTCCGGAAAGATCCAAAGCCAATGACGTATTTCGATATTTTTCTGGTATATTTCGAGGAACTGTTTGCAAGCTAAGAAAACTGCAATCCCATAACCATCCTCGATTCTCACAATCATCGGTGTGAGGCCTGAAGCTACACATCTCAGTATTAGTTGTTTCTGTGTTATCTAAATTAAAAAAAAAATAATTAAATGTTGTGTATTTGTCAAGCAAAAAACATATATCACTTAATATAAAGATCAAATTTTATCACGAACACGGTAATTATTTTAGTCTTCTTGTTAAATACGGGTAGAATTTTAAGAAACAACAAGTACTTACTCAGAACATGGAAAATGACAAGACATTTGATAATTGCAAGATGAACCATCATGACCGTCACATGCTAAGAACTCTTCATTCTTTGAGTGAATTGTCTGTTGTCTTATATCAATCCAGAGGTCTACACAAAACAAATCTTAATAATTATATATAAAGGGTTTTAGAGGTTATAAGAATCTTTTTATTTCTAAGAATCTCACTTTTTTATATACTAAGAAGGTATTGATAAATGTGACCTTCACCCAACACACAAAGATAAGCAAGTGACCTCTGATGTTTGAAATGCATCTCCCTAATGCATAGAGGGAGCGAGGAATGTTTCAATTTTTTTCCATTTACATGTACAGTTACTTACTGTATTGATCCTGTGGGAAAAATAAATCTAAAGGCTAAACATTGCAATATAAATGTTCCCCATTTTATATGCAATATTATTGAGAGGTAATTGAACATACGTTGATACTTTTATCAGCTATATCATTATAACTCAATGCAGTTTCTACTAGTACTGTGCTTTATCTACATGTACAATGTCCCTTTTGTATTACATGCAGATTTATTTGTTATCAATTAAGAATAATATTTTTCATTTGAATAAAGAGAAAGGAATATCTTCTTCAGTCTGTGCTAATTAATTTTCACATTCATTCTATTGCAGGACACTACATTTTTATGCCTATTCCACTAGATATCATGTCGAATTAAGCAGAAAATAAGCACACTCAGTTTCATTTTAATTTATTATTGCTTTAATCAAAATGAATGATAAGGATTATTGCTTTTCCCTGGAAATGTAAATTAAGGTCACTTTTCAAAATATTTTTTATCATGCCAATAAGAAATCTCATCTTCGACTTTTTAAAAACAGTAACTGTCACTTTTCTGCATTGCTGCAGTAATCGAACTCTGAACATAGTCAAAAATGCATTTTAAAGAAAATCAAGAACATATTACCATAGTCCTCACAACTTATAAAAATCAATTATTTGCCATATATGAATTCATAATACAAATCATTACACCAATCGTGTGTTTAAAAGGATTTTTCACTATATGTACCACAACTTTAATATATCCTTAAGTTTAATAACGTTGAATACGATTACTTACTGTGTCTTACGATTACTCACAATATCCTATCACGTTACAAATAAAAAAAATGATGTACCTCAAAAATTTAGTCTCTCTCTCTCTCTCTCTATTTATATATATACTAACAGGAAATTTCTATCATGTTTTGAAAATACTGCATTGATAGACTTTTCAAAGTCCTTTTCAAAGTCCTCTTGGGTAATGATTTAAAGAGTACACGATTCAAAACCATTCAACTTAATTATATGTTGGAGAGATCAACAATGTAGGTCTCAATGCCAATTAAAATATGGAGTAAGTTACAAAAGGAAAGGGAAAGAAATTGCTTCTATATACAGAGAACTATTTATATGTATAATTTATGTATTTGTTATTTTACGAAATCATTAATAAACATTGAATTCTTTCCTACAGGTGCTACCGAAATATACCGTAAATCCGGAAATTTTTCCTGTAGATAAATTTTTAGCAAATTTTCGCAAAAATATATTTCTTAAAAATAAATCAACAACAAAAAATGAAAACAAATAAATTTGCTATTTTAAACAAGATGAACAGGTGTTTGTAAGCAGTGGTCATTTTAAGAAACCTGTTTATACTAACAAGTCAATTACCCATGATAATCCGTGTGTGAAAGTGCCTTCACTTCACCGATGGTTTGACAGGCAGTTTGTCTCTTTTAAATTATTTCTCTAAGAAAGAGAGGGCAGTTGTTTAAGAACAAATGTTTTTATCTGAAGGTTTGTTAAAGCTGATATCGTTTTATATATTTTATGTACATGCATAATTTATTAAAATGTTATGAAAACTTTAAATAGTTTAGATGTTTTATCTCTTAAATTCTATTATTTTTATGTGATTATTGAACATTTGTATTGTTTAGTTTTGCATACACACGTGTAATTTATTGAAAGTACATAATCCGATTATTGAATGTTGGCATCTTTTAATATTGTATGTACATGTGTATGCGAAACTTATAAACTGCTATGAAAATTTTAAGCACGTTTTGATTTAAGCACCATGATTGTCAATTCGCAAAAATTTGAAACGTAAAAATTAATCAACAACTTTTTGACCCAGATCCGCAAAAATAAATCGACGTAAAAATTTCCAGATTTACGGTATGTTTCGCCTGATTATAGGAATAATTTCAAGCATTGAAAGCGTGGGAATTACTTAAAATCCTTTTTACATAATGTAATAAAATATTAATTATACATATTTTAGAAATTCTAAAGCAATAATAAACTGTGTTTATGAATCTCTTAAAATTCTCATCATATATATAGAACATGTTTCCCCGCATTATTAGAATAAAAATTAAGGTTATGAAAAAAAATTCTGAAAATTACAAATTTTTCTGCTAGAGCATTTAATCACCAAAAAATATTTGTACAGAGATAAGCTATCTTGGAATTCTGTGAATTATTGATCCTATTTATTATTGTTTGTTCAAGAAAAAAAATGAGCTGATATCAAGCTGGAATTCAAATGAAACTGTAGTGGATTTATGATTTGCGTGTAATGTGTAATAATTCAAAAATAAATCTCAAAAAGGCAGAAGAATTAATTTTTTTAACAGGTCCATTAAGTTTTGAAAAACGACGCGTACAAATATGGCTTTCTTAGATCAGAGAAAAAATGCACCTAGTACTTATATAACTCGATGATATAATAAAAGTGTGATTAAAACTTTTCCATTTTTTATTAAAAGAAATAAATATTAGTCAGTGATTGGATTGTTAGTTAAAAGCAGAAAAGAACAATATAATTTGTTCACTAAACTGATATCATTCGGTAAGAATGCTTATATTTCGATATGATTTATAGTAATTTGAATTAATTTAAATCCAAATTGAGGAAAACTTTAGAAATCAAGTTAACATGGGATATAAAAATTTTATTTATTCTCATGGGGAATATCATTCTTCCTTGTTGAAATTGTATTGATTTTAATGAAATGGTTTGCATATTTTATAAATTTTAATGTTTAAAAAAATTCATCGTCCATTTTGAATAATTTATCATACTAATAATTGGTTATAGGAAAGTTTCCAAGTAAAGTGAAAATAATAATATTTTTTTGTATTTCCCTGTTTCTATTCCTTGTCCTTTCCTCTCGAGAAGGAAATTCTCTTAAAAAAATCAATTTTATTCCGTGCAAAAAATAAAAAAAATCGTTGGATGAAAATACTAAATCCTTTTATGCCCCGTTCCCTCTGAATATTGCTTTGCACCTGTCCGTCGCTCGGTGGGTTAACCGTGCTGTAGGCACAACTAAAGATTGTTCCTGCTCGATATCATGAAACCCATTTGCTTTGATTTTTGATTTTCAATAAGAAACAAATGACTTCAACTGATTAAGAAATCGAAAAGTCAAAGGTCAATCTGGACATAGGAAGATACTGACCACTCAGTATCTAAATGTGAACTTTTGCCTGAAGACATCAAACTAGACATACTAGTTTCTCCATCAATTTTAGGTCACAAGGTCTAAAGTCAAAGCTCAAACCTCTCTGGACATTGGAATATATTGTTTGCTCAGTGTCTCGAGATCCATGTGCTGACAGTTCATCAAACATGGAAAATTGGTACCCTCTTAGAAAAAATTACCCCAATGATATCAAGAACTGATAGAGATTAAAATTTAAGGTTATGTTTGCCACTGACTGGCACATGAACATCGCAGACAGTCTCGATCTTAATTTAAAGTTGATCCTTTTTAATATTGTCACACGGGGGGGGGGGGATAATTTCTTGTTTATAATAGTTTTGATTTACAAATTAGGTTCTTTAAGCATTTTATCATAAGTTGAATTAAAATATATTCTTGTCCAGCTTTCCAAATACTTAGATTGGAGAGTAACTGACTTTGATCCGGCTTTGATGTAGCACTACTATAGTTAATGCTGTGTACGTCTCTAAGTAAATGACTTTTGTGTCTTTTTTATTTTTGTGCAAAGGTGCAAAATATGTTCCCTTTTACTGGTGCTAATGCATATCGTGTTGATCTCAACACAGTGGAAAATAATTTTTCAATATATCTTATAAGTTATCAAGCTAAATAGTGCGCCATTATCTTGAATCCTGTATACTCTTCCTGTACGAAAATTTATGCCCTGACTTAAGGCTGAAAAGGGCCACCGTCCATCGACAGAACCCGCCTTACATCTTCAAAAAAATTAACTAGACTATTAGACGGAGTCAGAGTGGAATCAGGGCTGTATATGGCCCTCAATATTTAAATGAGTTAAGATGTACTCCTCCTTTTATAGAACACCTTACTTGCAAGGGATATTCCGCCTTACTCTCAAGGCGTATTCTACCTTACTAGCAAGGCGTGTTCCGCTTTATAAATATGCAAACCATGAATGATGAATCCATGAAAATAACATCAATATACCATAATCCGCTGCACATGGAGTTTACATCTGCCTTTGATTCGATTCACAAGAGCATGGTCTACGTGCGAACAATTTCTAAAACGAGGATAGCTATTGACAGATAAGATGATGAAACAAAAATATGAATAGTCTCGATTAAAGTCAACATTTCGCAAATTCTATGGTCGATACAATGACCTTGTCAGCAAATCAGCAAATTCAATCTATCATTAAGTCGAATATTTACTGACTTTTTTGGTACAAATTGGTTGACCAATTGCCTACAAATTTTTCGGTTTGCCCGATCATGACAAGGAGCACACGGCGGGTGTGATCGGTCTACAGGAGATGCTTAATCCTCCATGGCACCTGATCCTACCTCTGATGTTTTAAGAGGTCCGTGTTTGTTCTGCTTCAAATTTGTATTGTTTCAATGGATTTTTGAGCTTGATTACTGTTCTGTTATCTAAATATTTCATTGTAAAAGTCGTTTTGGATGTTAGTCATATACATAGATGTATAACAACAATCAAGCTGTAATAAGTGTAATTTTTTTTTTCTAGGAGGGTTTTTATACTCTTGAGGGGTTTTCTTGATGCATGATTTCGAGATCATGATAAT